CCCTGGCAAAATATAAATCGCGCCGGAAGGGCAACGAAAAAATGACTTCTGTCCCATTTTAAAGAGACTTTCTTCGCACAATTATTTACAGATGTAATCCTCAAGCGATTTTGTTTTGTTTGAAGGTCAGTTAACCAGCAAAAACAAACAAAAACAAAAACAAAAAACAAACAAACAAAAAAATAGGTTGTATTTCGGATTTTGAAAATCGATCAACAATAATAGTGAAAAGAACGTGTTCGAAACCAAGCTAAACCAGATCGCCAAAATACTGGACAACACTACACACGTTTCCGTCTTTTCACGGTTCGCGTGTTAAAGGGATAGTTAACACTGTTTTAGCTTAAGGTTTAACAGACCATTACAGTTAAATGAGAAATAAGCGTAGAGTACTTACGTTTAGTAGCACTTCGTTTAAACTAAGTACCTGATATGCCACAGCAGATGACCTGTGAATTGAAAACTTTGCCATTTCTTCCTTTGGCGGGACATATGGCCCCCTGGACAACTAAGCTACCAAGAAAGCAAAACTCGATGCCGAAAACTACTAGACTGGGTCCTTTCCCGTAAGATCATGATATCTTATCTTGGTTAACTGAATTAAACATTTTTCCTTTGTTTTTTTTTCGTGGATATTTCGAGAGAAAAAAACTACAGTGTGATCTACTGCCAGAGATCAAAGGGTGGTTCGCTTCTATGGCAACCGACACAACAAGGCTAGGACGCTAAGCACACATGTAACCTATCCTGGGCATGACAGCGAGGCAATTATAGCCGAGCGTTTTTGAAATAAACGCGCCAAAACGTTGTGGTGTAAAGATACTCCAGCTGAGGAAAACCGCAAAAAGAACACACTATTCTTACCAATTTTCTCGAGTACTAAATTTCGCGATTTTTGCGTTTTGAAAATATCACGAAAATCAGTACCGTAATCTGCCGCTTATAGGCTTACTATTAGACTTGCCACAGGTCGACCATTGCTTAATCCTTCGCTGATACATGGCATACATCTCCCTCGGCCCCGAGCGAAGCGAGGGGGCATTAAAGCGACGAAAGTTGCGAGGCAAGAGACTGAAGAATTATTGGAAAGGACTATTAGAGAGTCCATTAAAAGCTCTTTTTTATACAACTTCGTAGGGGGTTTAGGATAGGCTTGTAAACGAAGGGGATTACATCCGGGGAGTGGGTGGGGGCTTATAAGTGGAATACGCAATAGGTTACCATAGCAACAGTATGACCTGCTAAAACACCCTTAATTACAGCTTTAGGGGCTTACAATTCAAAAACGGCACGCTGCAATATTTTTATATTTTCAAATTTTAAAACGCATGATAAAACGCAACTTTTGGCAAAGTTTTAAAAAATATCTACATAGGATTCAGAGCCACCTTAAAGTTTTAAAAATTTAAGGTGGCTCTGAACCCTATGTACAGAATTTTTTTAAACTTTGCTAAAAGTTGCGTCTTATCATGCTTTTTAAAATTTGCTAATATAAAAAAAAATTAACATGCCGTTTTTGAATTATAAGCCCCTAAAACTGCAATTAAGGTCATTCCGCTAAAATAGAACCTGCGCTGAGATTTTTGTGAAACTTTGCCTATCGATTGTTTATATTATAGGAACTTAAATTTTCAAATAAAAATGAGGGGTCCCATTGTTCGTTTAGGAGCAAAAACACCTTGTTTATACCCATATAAATCCTTATAATAGCACCATGATTGTAGTTACGATTGCTTGCTAAATTCACGTTTCCGACGATTGCTTTTTG